ATGCACAGAAACCTTCAAAGCTATGTCTCAAAATTTCTTTCTTAAATTGATTATACCTGCTATTTTGTTACAATAAATGAAAGCTGAATAAAACAAAGGTAAATCCTAATCTGATATGACTGGTGTTCTGGAACAAAGTAGCATTTGGAAACAGACACTTATAAAGAGTGAATGAAAATGAAGATGCCCATGTACGAACCAAAGAGAGAGGCCTGGAGCAGATCCTCCCCTCAGAGCCCTCAGAAAACACTGATGATGCCCACAACTTGATTTTAGTTCTCTCCTCTTCTTCAGGAGTGTAAGATAATAATGTTCTGTTAAGCAGGTCTAGTGATTCACGGCAGTCTATTATGGAAGTGCTAGTAAACAAGTCTATATGTCAGGATCATATTGCAGGTGCCTTGATCCTGAGCATAGCTGCAGTGACCAGTGTGGCCCAGGATGTGTAGGATACTTCCAGCATTCACACTAAAATTCCCACACCCCTAGAATATATGCAGTTTCAAGAAAAACAAGAAAATTGCTCCCCTTCAGGTTAATTTAGTGGTTACAAGTATTGAGGTCTACAGAACAAGACTAGTTTAGAACCCATTTCTACCCATTATTAGCTGCAAAAAGTTCTACATTGTATTGTAGTTAATATCTACTAGTAGGTATACAATATCTAGAATATTTCCTGCCACAGAATGAGCACTCAACAGATATTAGCAGCTAATGTTTTCTTATACAATTATAGTCACAAAATATTCATGTAATGACATCTACTTTCAAGAGAGTAAGAGTAAAGGCTTCATTTCAAGAGTTAAATGTAGTAAAAGTTTTGTACCTTCTATTTATTCATTCCAATGTTGGTATTTCTCTGTAACTGATAGAAAAATGGCCTTGATGTTTCTCAGAATTTCTTTCCTTATTGTGAAGTGTTCATGTTCCACAAGATTAGGATTCCACAGATTAAAAAAAAAATACTATGAATGAGACCCCTACAGGCAGCAGGTAAAAGATGACCTGGTCCATTGGTAACACTTCTAACCAGTCAAAAACAAAGAGCTTACTCAAGAAAGAAAACCAACCTGAAAATGAGAGAGTGTCTTTCCTTGCAGGACACACACAGGTCATGGAAACAGTGAAAGAAGGGACACCACTTGTAGTCAAGGTTTTCAATGGAAACAATATAGGTCACATAATATATAGGATTGTTTTATAGTACTCACCCAAAGAGTCAAGTTCAAAAGAGTGCAGGAAATCTGTCCACATACTAAAGACCCAAAAATCTAGAAGACCATCTGGATCTCATGGCAGCGTCTTGCATGAACCCAGCTGAAGACACTGAGCCCAAAACAATGTCTCCAAGTTGCCTCAAGGATTTGAGCTAAGATGACCTCAAGGTCAGTGGTGAAAGATAGAAAGTCTGTGCCAGTAGACTGAATGAGCTGCTGCAGTAGGCTGAAGGATTTGCACTGGAGCCAGGAAGCAACATTCAAAGTAAGAACTAGAGCTCCCCCACACTCAGCCATACTCAGAGACAACAAGGTCCTGAGCCCCTCCAAAGATATCAGTCATGTTCACATCAGGAAAGCCAGCCTGACAAGTTCCTCCAGGAGAACCAAAAGCTCCTTAGCAGCACATCTTTTCCTGCTTTCCTTTTTATTTTGTTGGAAATCTCCAAGTGGGCCTCCCATGTCCAGTAGCACACTGGTTCTGTTCAGCTGGGTGATACAAGTTGACCACCAGCTGTCAATCCACCATACCACTAAAGTTGAGTCACAAATGAAGCAGACATGAAAGCACAACCCTGGAGCATTGCAGTCAGTAAACAAGGGAATGGCATCAAGAAAAGCAAGCAGATAGATACTGTCCTGCATGTTAACAACTAGAAACAATTGGGCATCTCTGTAGCATAGAAATATGTGGGGATCAAATAAGAGATGAATTCAGCCCATCCTGCTTTCTCCTTATTCTAGCAAATGACCAAATCATGTAATGAGTATTACATGAGTGTCTCCTCAAAAACCAGGTATCTAATTTACCGAAGACAGTGCAGTCATTTTCACTTTTTTGTATCCCTTTAGTAAAAATTTGGGTTTGTAATTTTCTAATAAAAGCAGTTTATTGTGTTATTGACTTTTCATAGGATAAAAATACATATGCTGTACATTCATTGATTAAATCCTAAATATAACGTGTAAGCTGCCTTGTAGATTTTACTGTGCCAAACTCTTTATCATCCTTCAACCCTGGAGCTTCCTTGGATTCAGAATCACTTTAATCCTGCGGTTCTTCATTCTAACCACAATTGAAAATTGACTTTTGCAAGCCTTGATTCAGCTACAGTGGGACTTTAAAAGTCCGGCTGGAGGAAAAATAGCATTACCTAGAATAAAGGCCACACTAGGTTCACTCTAGAATCATTCTTATCCTCTTATCTCTAGCTGTCCTGTTTTGCTTCCTTTTTATTACACTTTATTTCTGAGCAACTTTGCTTTCTTCCTTTAGGATTCATTGCTGTCCTCCATATTAATTGACCTTTAATTTGAACTTCTGGCTTTCTTAGCTGAGCATACACTGTCCAATCCTTCCTATGCAAAAGCCATTAGAGTTTCTTAACCCTGGCTGTGCAAGGGAATCTCATGTGATTCATATGTGAAATCAGCTGAAAGCCTCTACCCTGAAAATTTGGATTCAGCACAAGCAAGAGGAACACAGGCATCTATATAAAAGAAAAGAAAAGCAAGGACCAGCCAAATAGCTCAGCAGATTAAAGCGCCTGCAAGCAAGTGCAGGGGCTAAGGGTTCCATCCCCCAGCCTGCAGTGCTGCCCCTGCCCCTGGGGCTAGCTGAGATGGCAATTGAGACTGGGCATGGTGGCACATGCCTGTAATTCCAGCTCTTGGGAGGCTGTAAAAAGGTGGATGACTACAGTCTGATCTAGCAGTGAGACTCTGAACACCCTGTAGGCCCTCCCCTAAATTAAAAAAAAAAAAAAAAAAAAAAAAAAAAAAAAAAAAAAAAAAGGAAAGAGAGAAAAACAAATGGAAAGAGGAAAAAGCTACAATTGATCTTGAATGAGCAGAATGAGAAACATTTAACTGGATATTAAATTTGTTGGCTTCAGCTTGCCCTTTCATATTGGTACAGGAGTCCCAAATTATGCAGTAAATAAAAAGATAGTAAAGATGCTCTGGCCCCAGGTATCTATTTAGGCAACCACTGCAAAGACCTAGTTTTTCAAGGTTTAGCGCTGAAGCAGCATCTCTAAGGAGACAGGACACAGACCCTTACATTTCCATCTAGTCCCACTGGTAACACTCTGACAATTATTGGGGGCTTGGGGTTGAGATCAAAATATGTCACCAATAATAATGTGAAATCTATTTGGAAACTGTTACAGTTTTTAGTCTGATTGGTTGTTGTGAAGGTCATTTACCATGAATCGTTTTGGAAATCAGGAGCTTTCAATGAAAAGTCCAAGATTTAATGTTTCAGGCATTTAGAAAAGAGAAAACTTGAGAGTGGTATTGCTTTTCTTGGGGGAACCATGGTCCCAACAATGGAGTCACAGTGACCTCTTTTGTCCTACATTTCCAGAAAGCGCAGTTGGTCTCTTCTGCTATACCTCCCTTTGGTGTGGCTCTTTAATCTCTGAAGTGCTGACACTGTTCATTATTCCAGACACCAACAAGATTCAATTGGTTCCTACAGGGATGTCCATTTTATGAAGCTGAATGTGAATGAAAGACCTTGGTGTAAGTGTTTCACTTATCAAACCAAGACTTTACCATGTTAGTCATTAGGCAAATAAATTAATGTCAGGCTTCCTTATCTTCTGGGCCATCAAGGGACAGACCAGCTCCTTGACAAGATTCTTTTATGAACAGTTTTTGTGTGTGAGAGAAAATGTTAGTGAAGGCCTGAAGGGATGTTCCAATGAATTAGAGCACTTTCTGCAAAGCAGATGCAGTATGCACAGCAAAGGGGAGTTGTGCTGTACGATCCAGCATTTCACGTGCTGTCTCGGATCTTTGAGCCTCACAAGTCCCTAGTTGTGGTTTCCCCTGTCATTTACAGATATACTCACATCCAGAAGAGTTTCTCTTCTGGCTACAATTGACCAGGCTTTTCTATATCCTTTATTTCCCCTCCCTTCCAGCCCACAGAATTCCTCAAGCAAGCCAATCACCTCCTACGAGAACCAGCATTGCTTCATCTTCTTGGTACTACAAAGCCTGCCCCACCTCCACACCCTCTGCCTGTTCACTATCCTGAATGTCCTGCCTGGGGATCCCTATGTGGTTTACAGAATCTTCTTACCTGCAACCCCTAGACTCTTGAGTACTTTGGGCTAATAATCTGTGGTTGATCTCAAGTGTCCAGTATCAGAATGCAATGTGTTCATCCATCCAGGATTAGGTAGGGTGAGGATTTCTTCTCTTGAAAAAGTGAGTAGGCAGTGATAAGAATAGAAGCCCAGTTTTTTTCCATCTGTGGATTTTGGACCTCACAAAACAATTAGTCAGGGCGCTGGCTTCCAATCCTGGCATTTCCGCCTAGGCATGTAATATCAACACCGTCAGCCATGGTTTTATTTGGCAATTATGCATACTAATATTATTTTCTACCTTCTCTGTAGATTTTTGTGGTATCTAGTAATAATGCTTTAGAGGGAGGTAGACATGACAGGTCTATAAGATTGTTGCAAAATTGCTAATGAATTCTGTGTTTAGAATATTATTTTGCATTCATTCAAGGATGTAAATTCTGTTTATAGAAAAAAAGTACAATTCTTTTGAGGGATTTGGAGCTTTTCTCCTCAACCCTTCTATGCCTTCCACAATGATACTACCTGGAGGAGAGGGACAGGCAGGAAAAAGGCAAGAATGATAAGGAAGAAGAGAAGACAGTGCAATCACTTGAATGCAGCATAAGTGATGACTTTTCCTTTGTGACAGTCTGATACAAACAGATGTAATGTATCACCTTGTTTCTATATATAGATTTTTTTAAAAAATATGGAGCACTTCAAGAATTTACCTGTCATCCTTGTGCAGGGGCCATGCTAATCTTCTTTGCATCATTCCAATTTTAGTATATATGCCACTGAAGCGAGCACAGTATATAGAATTTTGTGTGACTACAGGGTGCAGGGGCAATGAAGGCATGATCCAAAAACTAGAGGAGCCCTCCTGTGATGGCAATATAACATTATGACACAACTAGGTGACAGGTTTATATGTCTTGTAAAACAACATTCAAAGCAGTGAAATGGATACATCTTTCTCTCCCTTTTCCAGACTCTTACTTCTCAAAATCTGGCTGTCATATAAAGTCTTCCCTGAAGCTCAATTCCTTGCTAATTGTACAAATTGGTAAATAGTTGGGATGGACATAGGCTTTAAATAAAGTTTAAGGGCTGGCCTGATAGCTCAGAGAATAAAATGCTTGCTTAGGCAGAACACAGCAGCCCAGCTTTGATCCCTGGCATGCCGTGGCGCCCTGCCTGTGGGGCGCGCTGAGATGGCGATTGAGACTGGTCGCAGCGACGTGTACCTGTAATCCCAACACTAGGGAGGCTGAAAACAGGAGAATCACTATGAGTCTGATCTACGTAGTGAGACCCTATAGATCTTGTCCTAAATGCAGGGGAAAAAAAGTTCAATCACGCCAGCTCCATCTCCTTTTTCCAAATTTCAGTGTGGAGTTGTCCTAGTGCAGATGTGTCTAGGTAAGAAGGAAGCACCTGTACCTGGGGCCAGGGGGCAGGGAGAGAAGTTATATGTGAGTGATTGGAAAGGATTTGCTATTTAAGAAAGTAGGAAAAAAGGGCATGAGGTAGAAGAAAGATTACCTCAAAGGGAAGGAAATGAGAGAGGGAGGAGACAGCTTCCAAAGTTTCCAACTTCAGTTCTAAAATCAGTTTCCAAAATCAGTTGGAAGTCTGAGGTACAATCTAGATGAAAGGAACCTAGTGGGAAGGTGCGAAGGGCATCTGATTCTGCCATAACTCATTCCCTATCTTTAAGATTTATAATTTTATATTGAAGTAAACAGAGAAATACTAAAGATATCTAAAATGTGTGTATTTTTGACATTGTCAGTCCTATGGATAATCCACTATTATTGTGGACTACTGGACCATATTGGATTATTTTGCTGAATTCATACACCTATAATATTTAAATGGCAAAGGAATACCCATCTTTGACAAAACTAAACAAATAAGGGGATATAAATGAAGGACCATTTTGTATCTGTATATACAAAATAGGATAGATATACAGCTACTTTTTCTTCATTCAATGAGAAGATTTGTACTAATAAGGTTTGGACAAGATACCATGTCTGCATCTTGTACTATGAATAACTACTATGAAGACAACAATATTCAATGTATTAATTATTGTAACTGTCCTACTAACCTGTTTTGAAACTGTCTCATTGCTATCTCTTTCTCAATAAAATTAATAAAAAAGAATAAAATGGTGTATTTGTGATATAATAGGAAAAATGCCTCAAAAACCCTTCACTGTAGTTGTAAATAGACTGAAGAGTACATTGACTAACTGAAAACAAGGGGGGACAACCGTGAGATGCCAAGTGACAAATGAGGAGGGGGTCAATCCATAGCTGTGGCTGCCATGAAATGAATAGATAGATTTGCTTTTGCATGCTCTTTGTGAAGACAAAATTCAGTTTGTAGAGTGTATATAGAGTGACTGACTCTATGCTAATATTTTGACTTTGTAGCTGTATGACTTGGGCATGTCTCCTTCTTTCTTTAGGACTTTTTTTTCATGTCTCTTTAAAACAATAGGGTTGGACTAGATGTATTCTGATTGCTTCCAACTCTTAATACTCTGATATTATGATTTTGCTCCAATTTGAATGGCAGCCAAGGACATTTGGTTAGTGAAATTTCCAAAGACTTCATTACATAGTGGTCCCATAGATTAGAGCCATAGGACAGTTATGGCGGGACTTTAGATTATTACCAAAGATAATCATAGTGTTTAGTTTTTACACAACACTTTCACAGCTATAATTACCTATAATCTGTGTTACTCTTCACCATATCATTGTGTGCCAAAGGGGTATAATGACCATTATCTGTATTTTAAAGAGATGGAATTGAGTCCTTAAAGGTTCTGAAGACCTGCCTAAGGTTCCAAGCAGGTTTTGCTGGAGTTTGGACTGGGTGTGTGTCTCGGAACTTGTGATGCAGAGCTCTTCACTGTTGCTGTGCACTGCTTCCTGTGGTACCCGGGTCTTCTAGGTACACAGCTAATGAGAACCTCACCGTGTCAACCTATGAGCCTTGGGATGCACACTGCCTTTGAGAGACAGGTAGGAACAATTCTAGAATAACAGGTAGGAACAATTCTAGAATAATAGAATAATAACTCAAGTTATTCTCAGCTAGCTGTCCTGGCTTGGGAAATGAGGTATTATAGGTAACCAACTGTAGAAAAGCTGAAGGTCAAGGATTTTTCCTTACTTTTTTTTTTCATTTCTCTACCATACTATAGGGAGGATCTATCATAGGTCTGTGACCAAGGGGATAGGATAAATTGCTTACCAAATTATTTTCCTTAAGCAGATGGTCAAGATTATATGGTTTGTTTTTCTGCCCTCTTAATCCACTGTCTCTAGAAAAATCTACTACTTCCTACACCTCCTTCACCCCCATCACACATTCTATACTAGCTGGTCAGTGATTGAATGGCTTAAAGGGAAGAAGGAAGGACAATGAGGAGATTGAGAAGGAGGAGAATATATACCCCCCTTTCCATCCTTACAGTAATTAAATGAGCCAAGTTGTATTATTGCCATCTTAGATACCACACTGAGGAAATTTACTCAAAATTACATAGGTAAGTAAAATGGGGCTTGGAGTCCAGGAATGTATGTCTCCAATTCTTGTCTACTCTACCTTGTTAAGTCCTAGTCTCATTGGCCAGCTTGCTGCTGACCTTAGAAGTTTATCTAAACAAATGGCTTCAATTTTTCACAGAATGCTTAACACCCTAGAGTCACAGAGGATAGAAAGGTAAAAAGCAATTGAGGGTTACATGAGAATCTGAATCACATACTTTCTATGTTCTTCACATAAATTTATCTTTGTTTTCCATTTTTATTTTGGTAGTACTTGGGATTGAACCCAGAGCATTTGCACTAAGGTACTTAGCTAATCCTTTTTAATTTTTTCATTTTTAGACAGGGTCTTGCTAAGATGCCCAGGTAAGACTTGAACATTTGATCTTCCTGCATCAGCCTCCCCAACTCTAGGATTATAGGTGCATACCATCATACTTGAGTCCCACTTGTTATTTCTGATGAGAAAACTGAGATTGATCCAACTTATATGCAGTGTGGTGAGTTTGTTTCATAGCCAGGATTGCATCCTGTTGCACTGAATGGAACCCCTGGATCCTTTCCACTTTGTTATCCTCTTATTTCACATAATTCTCCATCCATTCATGGTCCAGAGAAAGTGTTGGTAGCAAACACAAGCTTCTTCAACATTTTCACAGTTCCAATAATCAGACATTCTTATTTTGGGAGGACCTCTATAAATGGTGTTCCTGAAATTCCTCAAAATAAAGACAGCTCCACAGATCAAACTGCAAAAGTGCATTCACTGGCATTTTTACCAGTTATCTGCTTGTTCCAGAACTGTCCAAACATTATAGGATCAACAAATGTGTTTAAGTTGATTTGGCCCAGAAATCTCCAAAAGGAAATTACAGGAAATGGTTTTCACACTCCAAAATTAAAAATACCTACTCAACTTGAAAGAAACTGAGGAAGTGGCTCTAACAGTCTTCATGAAAAAGACTCAGTTCCTTCCAGTTAATGCAAACCTCCGAAATTGGAAGCCAAGGCCATCAGTCATTCAGCCAACTCTCCACGAGGCCAGCATGCTCCAGTCACTGACACACCTGTCATTGTTCAATTCTCAGCAGGCAAACTCGAACCACAGATGATCCTCAGAGTAGTGCTTTAAAGCTGCTGCCAGTCATACGTCATGAGTTTGTTTTCTTTCTAGGAAATCCATGTGAGTTTCTATTGAGCATATTTGTAACACTATGCTGGGGATCTTGCAATTACTTTAGGATTGGAAATGATAGTAAAAGAGATTTTTATCTTAATATGTGGTAGGAATCCTTAATGTCAGGACTCTAGAATGGAAATAAAATTATGAAGTCATTATCACACAGTGAGCTTGATATGCCATGGGCCCAAAGAAGGCTGGAAGCAAGAGGAACAGGAGAAAGATGCCTACACTGGACAGGAGATGAGATAACAGTTCTTTTCACATTGAAGGTTTTTGTGTTCTTTTCCAAGTTATTTCTTGGAAATAAAGTAATTAATAGAGACACTTAATGGAGCAAATCCTACCACTGAAGTCTAGATGGATCATCAGGGCACTTTGACTCCCCAGAGAAACAGTTGTCTTTTCATATGATATGACTTCTCGAGGTCTTAGCCAGCTCAGGGTATTCTAGGCAGGGATTACAACCAGTCTTCTTGTGGAGGAGAAAATGTCCTCTGTTCTCTCACCTTGTTCTCCTGAGCTGCTCATTAAACTTTAGTAAGATAGTGTTCATCTAACTAGAATGTTTAATTACAATGAACTACTACACTGAATGAGCATTTGAATTTTACCAGAATATATATATTTCTTTTTTGTCAGTCAGTTCAGACTCAGTCTTTTGTCTTTCCAACACAGATTAGTAGAGTATGGACTATGAAAGGGGATTTATGACAGGTACTTTATGGACACTAATTCTGAAAACATCAGAATAAAGCAGGTGTGTTTATTTCAATTTTAGAGTGGGGAACAGTGAAAATCAGGGATTTGTATGACCATCCCCAAGGAGAAAGCCCTAGAGGAAGCTAGCCCCAGTGCAGAGTAGTTTCCTTGGTACTGCACTTTCAGCCTCCAAAACTGTGAGAGCATAATATTTGTTGTTTAAGCCACCCAGTCTGTAGGATTCTGCTGTGCAGCTCTAGCAAACCAAGTACCTCTTTTGTCTAAATAAGTGACTTTCTTATTGAGACAAAAATTGGATGTGAAATGTAATTGTTGTTACTTCAAATGAATGGAATATA